ATTCCTACCAACTTTCAGTTCAATCGGCCCAGCAGAACTTGACTTTAAGTTTGAAATGTAAAATGTTAACGGACGACGGACGACGACGGACGAAAACGGATAGCAATAGGTCACTTGAGCTAAAGCTCAGGTGACCTAAAAACACTGGGCTTACTTTCTGAACCTAAATTATCTGGAAAACTGCTTTCTGACCATAATTTTCCGAAAAAATCAAATCACGTTTTATCTACACCAAACATTGATGAAATCAAACGAAACAACGATTATTTAATTTTCATTTACAATGCATTTTGTCCAATATTGTGTACCCTGTTGACATCATTACAATGTTTTCAGAAAACTACCTCATGGCTTTTCCGTCTCAAGAAGTGTCAACATTACGAAAACTAATTTCCCACAGGGAGTAATTTGATGAAGTTAAGGGGGAACCTCAACTGAAGACAAAGAACGATAGAAAACGGGATCAAACTACTTGCTTTTGTACATTGATGCGAAAAGCATTGGTTCACCTTTCAGAGGTACAATATGTAACTCTTTAGTTGTATAGATCTAGAAAATGTACTGTTAACTATTTTTGATAAACAGTTCTTGCTGCATCACAGTAAGGTGTTTTACATTATTTTTTTTCACCACAGCAGTTTTAAATTTTCCATTTTTTCTTTAAAAAAAAAAAAGAAAAAAAAGGAAGGTGTTGGTTCACCTTTCAGAGGTACAATATGTAACTCTTTAGTTGTATAGATCTAGAAAATGTACTGTTAACTATTTTTGATAAACAGTTCTTGCTGCATCACAGTAAGGTGTTTTACATTATTGTTTTTCACCACAGCAGTTTTAAATTTTAAAAAAGGAAGCACCAACCTATATAACTGAGAAATGTCTTTGGAATATAGCTAGTCTATCAAATGCATCATTGAGTAAATATTCTGCAATCAAAAAATAAATAACAGGGATAATTAGATCTAATGAACCTTAAAACTTTAATGTAAATTTGTGGAAAAAAGTTCACTCTATTGCTGGGAGGTGAAAAAATTACAAACAAACAGGACACTTGAAATTCCTAAATTTAAACATTAACAGGAAAACCATTTCTTATAAGGATACTAAATCCTGTGAAGTGACTTGTGTGTAAAAAATACCATATTTTCTGTACATTAATTGTACATAGCATTTACAAATTTATGAAACGTCAACCACTTAAAGTTCATAATTCCAAGGAATATTGTCACACCTTAAATGAATATCAACCGAACTCATTTCACACCATTTACAAGCATGAGAAATAGTAAATGCCAAAATGTCAACAAAGAAAAATCTTCATTAAGAGCTGCATAAATAAATGAGTTCATTTAGAGATGTTTTCGGTTGTCCCCCTTCACAGTCTAGCACACAGATATGAAAATGATTTTGAGAAGTTGTAAACTCAGAAGAAAAACAAATATTAAATAACTTATGGTACTTGTCGTAGAGATTACAAGCTGTAGACGTCATTGGCATACAAGAATGGTGAGGTGACTGGAAACACAAGAACTATCCACAATAGGAGACCCATAACAAAACAGGTAACGAGCTTGGAACGTGTCGGCTTCGGGTAGCCGAGGGCCTCCTTGAACGACGGGAATCCCATGTGATTACAGAAGGAGTGGGCTATCACTGGTGCTATCAGATGACCTGTCAATCAAATAAAGGGTAAATGTCGATCATTGACATAGAAATAAATAAATTAGCACAATATCAAACCACAAAAATTTTGCACATAAAGTATATTAGTAATGTGCAAAATAGTTATTGAAGTTGGGTTATCTCCCCTTACACTGTATTCAAGAATGGACAGTCTACGTGTAACATTTACCATATTACCCTGATACATGTACATTGTATATTGCTTTCAGAAACATGTGTTAACAAATTTTGACAAAATATACACAATGGGTGATAGTATATCAGAGACTTTATGTGATGATATAGAAGAGTTTTAAGAGCGATAAAAAAGATTTCTTGTAGCTGTTTTGAACATTTTCTACCATACCTGTTCTTAAGAATAGGAAAGCTGAATACGCTCCGAACATGGTTGTATAGAACATCTGAAAGCCTGGGGATGAAAAAGCTTGTTAGTTAATGTTAATTTAAAAACAAGATCTGCAAGTCCAATGATGGATCAATACATTCAGCTAGCAGTAGACTACAGTACATGTTACTTTTAAACATATTTTACTCACACATCAGACATGGCTCTATTGAAGATGCAAGACAATGTTCCATATAAAAGTGTACCTCTTTTTTTTTGGATATTTTGTTTGCCATATTTTCCATTTCCTTTCACTTAATTTTATCAGCTACATTAATACATGTCAAAACAAGCCTTTCTCAGAATTTCAATATGAAACCCTTATTTTCTTTTAAAAACGAAAATACGATCCACCTAACAGTTGACCGTGTGCTATGTAAATGTAGCTCTTGTGATCCCTTACCTGTTTGTTTGATAGCGTCTCCTACTTTCTGTTGGCCCTGTATTACCCTGTCAATCATATGATGTATATGTGCTGCGGAAAAGAAATAAGACATGCATTTTAAACAGTGGGACAAAATGTATTCAAAAAAATGGTCCAGATGGATGTTCTCAACTATAATAAGGATGTCTTCACGATTTCCACGATACTTTAGGATACAAATTTCCATATCCATTTTAATTACAGAGCAGAAAACTTAAGGTAGAGAAGACCAGCACCTTTCTACTGAATTCAGGTCAGAACATTAGTTTTCCTGTTTAATTTATGTTATTTGCTGGTGCAGACCATTTTAGAATTTTAGAAAGTTAGAGCATTGTGAAATATTCCCTTGGTTTGGTTTGTTTGTGTTTTACGTCCTATTAACGGCTATGGTCATTTAAGGACGTGCCAGGTTTTGGTGATAGAGGAAAGCTGGAGTTCCCCGGGAAAAACCACCGACCTGCGGCCAGTACCTGGCAACTGCGCGACCAAGTGGTGAAGGGCTAGTAGTAGCAAAAGGTCAGAGGCCTTAACCCCCTATATTCCCAGTAACATTACAGATAAGGAATAGTATAACAGACATGAAGACTGGTAGCAAAGTGGATAAGCTCCTTACAGACAAGGTATTTTGCGAAAAAGAAATTACAATAAAGGATATTTCTGTTGTATTAACTTTTTCTCATGGTAAATGAGGAGTCACCACAAAGTTATAAACAGCTTAACAAATTGGGAACTTCTCTTCATTGAAGACACAAGACAGAGTGCTGAACTCTGTCTGATATTCAATGAAAATAATTTGCAGCGAATAAACAATTTCATACTCTCAGGTGCTTATCAACCCTTCATTCTGCAGCTACTAAAAATGTCTTTTATTAATACTTTTATTTATACGTTTTTACATTCTGCAGCTATTAAAAACATGTTTCTGCAGCTGTTGAATCTTACCAACTCCAAAGAAAAGTGGACAGATGAACACAGAATATCCTTCGCCAAAGCAAGGTACTAGTAATGGTAACATGCACGCTCTAAAGATGAATTCCTCGGAAAAAGGTGCCTGAAATCATAAGAAATATATCAGCAGGATTAAAATAGGTACGCTCTAATACAACTTTGTCCTCTCCAAAAAGATATCTAAATTATACAAACATATTGATGATTAAGATTTGTAAAATTTCATCTGTTAAACTTACAGACAATGATGATCAGTCCACAAAATATAGGATAGAAATTAATGCAGAACTTTTAATCTAGATTAATTTGGCTGATAACCATAACTGCTGGTAAGTCAAATACCTGCAACTTTTGAAGTCAAACTGTTAAAATAGATTTTATTTCCCCAGCATCTCTCCAGGTTCATCCCTTTAACAACAGGTAGCCCCACGCACAAGGCCTCTTTCCCTTCATTCACTCAACTCTCTTATTTCTTCTCTCAACCAATCATTCATTCTTTCATTCTCATTCATTCCGATATGTTGTACATGTAAGTATGTCATTTAATCCAAATTATTTATTACATATACATCCCCGACTAATTCCTTATATTCTTATACATGAACAAATATTGAAAGTACCAGGTACATACAAACTTATATGCCAAAACTCCTTCAAATTCACCAGTACTCCAGAGTTTTGACATATTCTAGTTATGACATTCTTATAAAGTAAATATGACCAACCAAAAACTTGAAAGTATTTTCTACATTTATTTCTTGTGTTGACAAAAAGAATGTTTTCCCGATTCTACAAGATTACCCACCACAATGTGATTCCTGATCCATGTTAAGTTCTGTAAACTATTGGTCCAGTACCTGGGTTCTGTAAAATGATCAAATACAACATTACGTTACAGTAAAATACAGAAAATAACCATTGTGATAAAAGTTAAACATTATATTTTCACTGCATTATGAAATATCAATTTATCATTTAGTAGGGAAAAATAATAACAATTTATAAATTTAAACCAATGACAGCACAGTTGAGTGTGGACAAAGAAAACTGGTGTTCTGCCACACTTGTAAAACATATATAAGTATGGTATCCAACATGAAACCATTTAACATGTTCCATTTGTGGTGATTAGAGATGTAAAATAGCACCTCCCTTCCCTCATTGACATCCCTCCCCCCCNATGATCAGGAAAAGTGTATAATTTTCTTCTAAAAGATTATGTCTGTCTTTCACTCTACCCAACTAAGTAGCTTATTTATATTCATATACATGTTATTACCAATTAAGATACAACATATCATTTATCTAGAACACGTAACAAACACTATTAACTACAGCATTCCTCTACTTGTACTAACACTTTGTAAATCTGGGTTCCATTAACACTGTTAACTTACTTTGAAGATACTTGTATCAAGTAAAAAGCTTCTTTTAGACTTCTAAACTACACTCTGGAAATCAAAAATCATTGATAATCTAACATGTTACCCAGGGAAGATTTACATAGGAAGGCTTTGGAAGCCCTGTAATGTATAAACTTTTATAATACACAGACATATTTTTTGTATCCAGCACATGTATGAAAATATTTCAGTACATACCAAGATAGATTCGGAACACTCCGTCCATGTAGTGAAGTCCTAAAGGTCCCAGGAACAGGATCTATATGGAGGGAACAACAACGTGATACGATTATTTTTGTAGAATTGTAGATAATTTTTTAACCTGCAGAAAGCTTTACTAGGGTTACCTCAAGGACTTGCTTCATCAAGCTGCATTCAAGAAAAGTTTGAACCAGTGATAATTCATAATTTATTAAAATTAAGACAAAATAATATTTTTTCAGCTACCACTACTTCAAAGTACATGGTGATGCAATTTAGTATTCCGACTTAACTGTTAAATACAAACTGGTATGCTCTGATCAATTACTGTAATATCATTTCCCATGAGTTAATAAAATATCTATCCCAACCTGAGACTCAATGTTTTGGGTACTACATGTACTCATGTTGTTTAATTAGCAAGTTCATAAAACTACTACTTGGGTTGGTTGGTTTTATAGCGTGTATCAACAGCTAAGGTCGTTTAAGGACGTGCAAGAAACCCAATCATGGTTAGAAGTGTATCATTTTGAAGTCTTAGTGTCAGTAGTGTTTTTTTAACTGGAAAGAGTTCTTAAATTGAACTCTCTGGTTTGTGTAGTACCATTGTAAGGACTAATGGAAACAGCAACGCTGGCAGGAATCCATGGAATCTCACACCGAGCCACACCACCAAGTCGTGGGCCTGTAAAATACGAGAAAATTCATTATACATCAGGAACATATATGAAATGTTTTTAATTAAAACAAATTTTAAAGTAAAGGTAAGTTTTTTAAAACAATATGGTTACGTTTCTTTGTTTCAGACATGCCAATACATAAATAAAGTTTACCTTCAAATTCCCAAATTATTTCAAACCATATGAGCACAATTATTTAGTGGTTATACAATTGCAACTCAGGAATTGTTTTTCTTTATGCAAGCTTATTTTTCTTACTCAAGTGTTTTTTCAGCACAGCCATTTACCCCCAATAATTTCACTTACCGTGGTATATTTAGATCGGCTAAATACTTTATAAGTTATTGGATATTTCTGTCCACATCTGCACAAAATTAATTAGACTTGAGGGAAATTTGGTATTAAAATATTAATTGAAGTCTATCATAGACAAGTGTTGACATGAAGAATTAAATTTCATTTCTTCAGGATCAATGACATTCTAAAAAGTGAGATTTTTTTTTGTCTGAATAAGATTTAATAACATTGATCCAAACTGAGTTTTTCATTGGATATAATCAAACATAAATAGACTACATTCAGGAAATTGATGTAGATTTCACACAGGAATCATTTGTAATTTTGACATAGAAGTAGTTTTTAAAGGTGTAATCCTATTTTAATAACGGTTAGCCAGCTAGACATTTTCATATACTGTACAGTGATAAATCTACATGCGAGTCCTGGGTCCTGCGCAGACCCATTGAATTTCGATATGACTGATAGAATTTCTGAAAATACTAAAATTTAACATGGTGGCACCCATATACCATTTAACCATACAGTTGAGAAAAAAACCATACAAACTAATTGTAGATTGATCACTGTATACATGCGAATATACTGCATTCACTGACGATTCACCCCCGATAGTACGTAACTGACCTCTTCACTCTCCGAGTATGTTCCAAAGCACCTCAATAACAGTGGTATGATCACAGATATAACACCAACACTCATAAATCTTCTCTTGATCGTTACTGGATCATCTCTGTGAAAAAACAAAAATAAAATACAGGCAACATTCATTTAACCTTATTAAGTCAAGATTACTCCCAGAACCTTAACTTGAAATACATACTTGCCAACTCTTCCTATTTTTGATGGAGACTCTCAATTTTTAATCCTAAAATTGAGCATTCCTATATATTTTCTAAGATCCCATGATTTCATCTGAAAGAATAGTTCAAAAGATGCCATTTTAAAGTGTTGTTTTGTCCCATGGGGTATACACAAGTAATGTCTTTTTAATTTTGAGCATGCACTATCTTCCCCTTTGAAATATTTAACAGGGTTGGAAAATATGGAATCAGGTTCAGTGTCAGTTTGGGTTCAGTAAGGAGATGTTCCAGTAATTGTACAAGATATTTCATACATCTAAAAAGCTATTTCTAGTAGAAAGATTATTTTAGCACTTTTGCATTTTGTGTGTCAGTGATTTATGTTTTAAGATTCTTCACTATTTTTCATCTTTACAAAAAACGAATCAAAACATCTTTTCTTGTTCTTGGGTACCAAATTTAAAACTCCCCAGGGACCAGAACTCCTAGAATTCCTTTGATTAAAGATATACCTTTGTATGCAACATAAGAAGAAGATATATAGTGAGATATTGATTTACAGGGTTTTTATATTACTCTTCATGTAACTTAACACACAGATACAGATACACAGATTTATTCTGACTGTAGGAAATTGTACAATTTCCTCTGCTGTCAGCTCAATTTTAAAAGTTACAATAGTACATATAGTTGGTTAAACATATTAATAACATGATTGGACCAGACTTGTTCGTTTTTGATAAGATCGAACCTATTGAGCCTGCTTTCAGGCGAGCCTTGCCAAAGCTTTGCAAGGCCTGCCTGTAAGTTGGCAGGTCCGTCAAAATTTATACCCGAAAATGTTCAGGTCCAGTACACTCTGCCGATTGAGCTATATAGCTATAAAGACCTATATAGCTATATACACCTATAAATTATAGCTGTATTGTGCTATATTTATTTTTCTCAGATTTCAAATTTCATTAAATTAAAGCAAAGTCACATAAAACAATAAGGTTAGATGTTTATTTTCATTTTTCATAAATGTAAAATTTCCGGTTTTTTTACATCATTATTTTTTAAAAAGAATACTTATATTTAATGTCTTTTGTTATCAACCTAACGATACAATCTTCTTTTAAAAGCGACTTTGTTTCGTTTTCTTTAAAAAAAGAAAATCACTTGAAAATAGCTCAAAAGACCTATTTCAGATAGGTCAACAGAGCTATTATAGGTCTTTACAGCTATATAGCTCAATCGGCAGAGTGTACTGGACCTGATGACAGTGATGTTATATTTAAAAACAGCCAAACCGGTTGAACCGGATACGTGAAAGGGGCCCTGGATATTGCCACTTTAATTGCCCTGAAAAAAACCTTTAAATGGATGACAAGGACATTGAACTGTGTTTAGATTTAAAACACAATGTCTAAAATAAATAGCCTCCTCTACTGTAGTCTAGGTGAACACGTTTTCACTTTTGACGAGTCGGAACGACTTTTTGGGGTCCAATTCCGGTTTGTCATCTTGATGACTGGGACATATCATTCGTGTAAACATTCACCTGTTTTTATGTAATGCGTCTGTCCAAATATACAAACTTCCGACGTATATACATGCGAACAACAGGCACAAGAGAACTGACTGCCATCCCGCAATCGCACCAAACACTATAGGCGCCATTCTTGTATTACTGTAAACTTTCGCGTCTTTGTTGAATGGAAACTTTCACTAAGGGAGATAACTCGTGTCATACGGGCACCTGTGCTAAATATGAACAAAACTTCATTCTTGTAAAAAACAATGAAAAATGAAAATAATAAACATTTAAAAGAGCACTGTAATGCATTCACAATATTCTCTTTTTGGAATGACATTAGGTGAACGCAAGACACCAATTATACCTACATGTATACATATATATATATACGTCTCTGTTCCGTGATTGACATTATTAAACCAGAGTCTGAGACTATCGTATATGATTTACTTTGCAAACATAATTCAGCACGGAGCAGGGGAAAATCACAACTAAATTGCATCTTTTTGAAGCTGCTTTTCTCTTAAATTGCTTACTATAATGAAGGTTAAATACACAGATACTTACTTAATTTTCAGGTAATTAAACAATTATAGAACATATACGTTATTTACGTATAATGCAATTTAATTATATTTCGGCAATAGTACACGTACTATAACTATTAAGCATACGTGCCTGTCCATGTAATAAGAATTAATATCTATAAAAAGAATAATGCACAGTACTGATTGAGGATAAATGAATACTTCTAATTCATATGTTATCTGTGTGATGTAATTGACAAGAGTTATATTTACATTACTGATCGTGACGCAGTTGCATGTCTACCTGTAGATCTCCTTTTTACATGATTTCTTCAATACTCGGCTGGTCTGCATTAATTGCCATTCAAATTCTTGTAATTAAGCTTTTGATGGAAACGATTTATCAATTTGCAATGCGCGTGTCTCGAGAATGAAAAAAACGTTAACATACATGTAATAATGACAAAATAATATACAACATTTATATAGCGCCCTATATATATAATTTGTTAATGTTCTCTAAAGCGCTTTACAACATATGGATAATAGTATTAGTTATAATTGTGAAACAAAAACAAAGGCTTACAATCACTTTTATACATTTAAGCAAGCAGATAATCGTCGCAATGTACACATAGATGAACAAATAAAGATTGGTATTTACATGACGTCTTTGCAAAGAGCCTAAAATGCAGACGTGAAGAGGTGAGTTTTAATGTCCCTCTTGAAATTGGCCAGGGTATTGGACTTTCTAATAGTAGACGGTAAGCTATTCTACAACGTGGCCGAAACCCTCCCAACGCGCCGGTTTCCATAGGCCACAGTTCGAGATTTTGGGACACACATGATTCTGAATCCGACCGCAGTGATCGTGACGGCTGATACAGGGAAACAAGCTCCTGTATGTACTGGCCATGGGGAGCTGTTCCATTCAGTGCCTTGTATGTGTACACCAAAATTGTGTACTGCGACCTGTATCGTGCAGGTAACCAGTGCAACGAATGTAACACATGTGTGCTGTGCTCTCTCTCTCTTTCGAGTACGAGTAACAAGTCGTGCTGCAGTGTTCTGGACCCACTGCAGACGACTAGTTTTGTCAGATATCCCACAGAGCAGGGCGTTACCATAATCCAACCGAGAGCTAACAAGTGAATGCACCAAAATCTTGCATGCATCTGCAGTTATAAACTGCTGAATACAGCCGATGTTCCTGATCTGGTAGTAACATGATTTGGCAATAGCGTTCACTTGTTTCTCCATGTTCAGTGAACTATCAAAGTATACCCTAGGTTTTTAACAGCTTGGGCAGTATCAAAAGTTCTGGCACCGACTTTGAGCTGGAGAGCCATTGTTTGCTGACACTTTGGGGAAAAGACGATTTTAGCATGTTGGCGTTCATCCAGGTACTGATATCTGTCAGACAAGCTTCCAGATTTTCTGAAATTGTATCCTTACTGTCATGTGGTTTGATGACCATGTAAATTTGTGTGGCATCAGCATAGCAATGATAGCGAAGGCTATGGCGACGACAAATCTCTCCAATCGGTTTTGAGTACAGGTAATATTTCCGTGGTCCTAACACCGATTCTTGAGGAACCCCGAAATCTAGTACGATAACTCTTAAACAAAGATAAATTATCGAAAATTGATTATAACAAGACTGGAACAATTTTGAAAGACATATATTAGCAGGGTACAGATATATATATAAAAAAAGCAATTCTATCAATACAATACAATAGGGATGGGGTAAATAAATATATCATAAATACATTGTGTACAAGTGTTGCACACACCTCTGTCAAAGGAGAGTTACCCTCTCGCATTAGCTTTAATTCCCTAACATTGATGGAATGTAAAGTAGCTTACAACAGTCTACTCCGGCTCCTCCTGAAACACGCGTGTCATTCCTAAGTCGCCCTTTGCTTTAAAACGTAAAAACCCAATGGGTCAATACCTGCACCTTATCAGTTAAAATCCCCGTCAACTAGTTTTAAAAGTACGCTTTCGAATAAATTTTAAATTCTTTCCTTGTTTGTTTAATATAAGAATTTGTATTTTACGCAGTGAAATCTTTCGCTTGGTAGGAAACTTTACAAATGCCACTTGTACACGAATGAATAAAATAAAAAATGAAAATTGATTGATAGACATCCATCGCGTAGTTTCTGCGACGAGGCCTTTGATTTAATTTATAATTCATGCTTTTATTTTATTGTTTATGTTGATAAATTTATTTAGTTTTTTAATGTGTACCAATTGTATTCAAAAGGTAAATTGAAGTTCACGTGTTGCGGGGTATGAGATATGCCGTGATTGCGGTCATGATATCATTCACAAAACTACGTATTGTATATCTTCAATGTACGTGTAATATTTACTTAGTCAAACAGTTATGGATTTTTTCTAGTCACTTCGGCGTTATCTCGGACTTGAACCTCTCGGCACACTGACCGTTATCTTCGAAGCGACCCTCTCCCTACAATTCTGCTCGGTCAACGTGTCACCTTGTACCATGAATGACATTCTCGATAACAGTCGAGGGTGGTGACCGAAAGCCTTGTTAGTTTCACAATCTGTTCAACCATTATTTTTGCTATCCATATCTTATTAAAAACTTGTATATATTGTTATGCTGAATGGGTACCTCCTTACACTACACATAAAATATGTTATTATTGTTTATTTCAATCATGACAGTAAGAGGCTAAAGGAACGTAGCATATTTTGTTTTAATTTCAAATCAAGCTGACATTCCTTTAAACGATTCAGTGGAAACACAAAAATGTAAAAAAAATATATTAGCTTAGAAAAAAGCCTTTTTTTCTAAAGGTGTCGTGCCATTTTGTGTTTTGTTATTTTGGTCATTCTGGACGTTTAACGAATTTTATGTTTATTAAAATGAATACCAGACAGGAACATTTGAATTTAACTTTTATTGACATGATGCTTGGGATAGCTAAAGAGTAAAAGTTTTGTAAACCATTAGCTTTATTCTCACCTTTTAAGGATTATCTATATATTATTATATATAGAATTTCCTTTAATTTACGTTGTGAAAAAGAGACAATCTTAAAACTGAATTTGTATATAACTTTATTTTTTAGAAGCATTACTGAATCATTATGAGCCCGTGCTATTGTTAAGGAATCATAAAGAAGTTCCACTTGTAAACCGCCTCAAGGGTAGATGTGGGTTGATATCGGTTACCATTCCTGCTTATACCTGTCCAAGTAACTTTAATATTCGGAGTGGCTATTGACACGGTGATTGTATGACGAATATGATAATTGATATATTAGCTTTAGGCCAGCTGTCATTTTCTATATAGATACAGTTCAAAGTAATATTATATAACGTTAATTACCCTTTGCCATACCAAGCAACATGTATGAATATTAATAAAAATAAAGGTTCAGTCGAGTCAGGTCTCCGACTCGAAAAGTTATGTTCGGAATATTGACCCTTGATTTGTATACGATGACATCATGTATTGTGTTTTCTGTGAATTGAAATAAAGCAGCAAATGAAAGTTAAAACTAAATGTCGACTTCTTTAACCTAACTACGTACACGTGTATTTACATTGTAACCTGGTATCCGTTTTGAATTTAGATTAAATTACAAAAATATTAATCGAATTGATGAAGTTGTGTCATGCAGAATGTGAGAAAAATAAACTATTTATAGAATGTTCGAAAAGACATATCTGTTCAAACCACGGAATTAGATTAGAATTAGATTATCCACGGACTTAGATACCGTGGAATAATAAAGTTTAGTCTTTTTTTTCAAAACAAATATTCTGAACTGCAAGTCAATTATTAAAAAAATTGCTCTAACGGGAAGTTCAATCGTTTCCTGATAAGTATGTGTTGGGTAGTACACGTGCTCTCACGTGTATTGCTTATATACACACTGTGTAGACACACATACGTTTCTATTGGCCAATTTGTGGGCGTTGTTCCCTTCGCGACATATGACGTCATCGTTGTTTTCAATGAAATTTTACTATACGTTCGGAACGCTCTGACCGTACCCGGCACGCTCCAGTAGATCCAGTTTTATATAGACGTTCGATAGGCTCAGACACGGGAGGGAGAACGGCTGTCACCATCATGCCAGGTCCTGCGATAGCACCGTTTTTAGGGGCGACGGGGAGACTTATGAGCTACAGGAACTTTAGCGAGGCATCAGCAGTCGGATTCCTTAGCGCCATTCTATTCGCCGTTTTCTCAGACCCCGTCCGAAATTTTGTAGACTTCGGTGAAAAATGGATGGAATTGTCGGCTTTACCCTATCAGATGAATATCGCCTTGTTGGGTTTTATTGTTGGCTATGGTCTCGTCAAAGTACTGATGTTGGCCAGGATAATGGTCCTTAAAATGCTCCTTAATTATCATGGATGGATGCATAGTCCGAAATCCACGGCAACAAAGGTAAGAGTTCTACATTTGTTGTGTACGTTACAAATATTATGCAGTCTGCGCCATTAAATTGAGGGGGCCGCTCCCAGGGGAAACACTAACACCTTCCATACCCCATAGGCAGTTCGCACTTTTCCGTAATTTGATTCATCAATTCATTACATTTTTTCTTATCTGATGTTGTTCTTAAGCTTAAAATATTCTTATCGTAAGGTGGCACTGCTTACGTCAACAAAATGGCAGTTAGTACCCTATTGGGCCTTATAGTGCAGCCAGTTACATGGATTTGTTCTTTAGAAAGGTTTCAGTGTATTTTTTAAACAAGCATATACAAATATAACATACTGAAATTTGTGTAGACCCAAACTTTATTTTATTTCTAATTCTCATTAAACCATATATCACAGGTCACCATGTTACATGAACCATATACAGATGACACGCTAGTTAAGTTATAAATATACTTCACTAATGACACTATTTCTGAGACTGATATATGTTAATAAAGCTACAGATATTTATCTACAATGAACTGACTTATATGGCGTATGGCACAGTTCTATTTACAGTATATTGTACAGATATTACAAGACTGTGACCAGGGATCGGACCATCACAGAATTAGATTATCTAAGTCCGTGGTACCATGCACTTTAATATCTAGAGACAATAAATGGATACAGACACTGGGGTGAAGAGCTATGCCACACCCCAGTGCTCCCAGCAGCTGACTGACATGATCAGAATCTTCAGTCACTGTGTATTGTAATTGTCAAGTGACAGTTTATATTGATCGAACTTTGTATACCAGGTAACCATGGATCCATGTATTTACAAACGTTTGATTGATTTTGATTTTTTTATCAAATATCATAACTGTCAGTGTTATTTCATATTTGTATGAGATCAGTTGAATGAATCTCAGCATATGAAAATAAATAATATTTTTTATTTCACAAGAGATGTCCAAATAATTACAAATGGTATGAAGTCCAGACTCCTGCAGGCAATCTGAAATCTACATGATCAGTTGATAGTTTATAGTTTAATAACAAAATATATTTATTCATCTGAAATCTATATGATCAGTTGATAGTTTATAGTTTAATAACATATATTTATTCATGTGAATGATTTAGGTGCCAGGTGGTAATATGCCAGGTTCAGTAAGCCTGTGAAATGTTGGCGTTATAAAGGGGGTTGATCACGATATATGGAGGGAGACACAAACAAATGGTGAAGAGAAAAGGAAAATAGGGCCTTGATTGTTATACATTATGATGGCAGTAAGCCAGGTGGCAAGTGAAACGAAGAACAATAATGGTTATATCAAGGTTTTACATTAAAGTATAGATAAAATTTTGTGTAATAGAAAACATCTTTTTGTCGGAATGACAACGCTTATTTTGAAAAAATGTAAACAGTTATACCTTAGGTGTACACAAAGTCAATAGCGGTGTAGGTAAATATGGTCTCCAGGTATATATACACAGGCTTGACTGATTTATGAACTGTGTAAATACGATCTCTGTACTGGTCACCCTGTTCATAGGGATTAGCCTATTTGGACTTTGTCCCCACTATATATATATGGTTCAAATTTTAAACCAGGTTGTACCTTATAATATAGCTTTAAATTTCATCTTTGTTTAAGTCAATTTAATTTTAATTTAATTAAAAAAAAGTTATTTATATCTTCAATCTATACACATGATGGTTAATTAAATATCATTTTATTGTTTTTATTTTAATTGAGTTGTCAAAAACTTTTATAATAATAATAATAATAATTCGAGGTTCTTGTATACCACTTTATCACAACCTAGTTCGTAGGTCGTCTCAAAGCAATTCACAAATTATGATCCGTGGTTATAGGGCCTTTGCAACCATCCAATACCTTTCTCAACTCCCTGGGGAGCGTATACAGCCTTCTACGTTCCTACCACTTACATTTATTTATTCATCCATTTATTATATCTTACAGAAATATACAAATAACAAAATAAATGCTGTATACAGCATAATCAATCATACTAAGCTTGATATCGCCAAAATATTTTCTCTGTGTAATCATCATTATAGATTAAAGAATATTACAACATAAACAATTTCAAGTTTTGTTATTAAGAAATTTTTAAGTAATGTTTTTTTTTTTTACTCCTGCATATATACTCTTTGTTATTAAAAACTAAAGCAATTTATATGAGATACATGAAATTTATTGCTATCCGTCGTGCGTCGTCCGTTAACATTTTACATTTTCAACTTAAGCTGAAATACTGTCAAAGGGATTTCATTAATATTTCATGGGAAGGTTGCTGACATCTCCCTGACCAAGGGTTGTTATTTTTCGGGTCGATTAGAAATCCAATATGGCCACCAAGGCCGCCATTTTGAAAAACTATATCCAGCTTAAAAGTCAAGTGCTGCTGGGCCGATTGAACTGAAACTTGGTAGGAATGATCGACTCATGGTCCTGACAAAGTGTTGTTATTTTTCGGGTCGATCAGAAATCCAATATGGCCACCACGGCCGCCATTTTGAAAAACTATTTCAAACTTAAAGTCAAGTTCTACAGGGCCGATTGAACTGAAACTTTGTAGGAATGATCGACTCATGGTCCTGACAAAGCTTTCTTATTTTTCTGGTCAATCAGAAATACAATTTGGTTGCCATGGCCGCTATTTTGAAAATACCTATATCAAACTGAAAAACAAGTTTTAATAGGCCGATCTAACTGAAAATAGGTTTAGGAATATGGTCCTGACAACTTAAGTAAACGTTATACTTAACAATTTTTTACTCAAATTGGTACATATTTCAACAACAAAAATAAATACTGTAGGACTCAGGTGACCGTTAAGGCCCATGGGCCTCTTGTTATTATGACCACAGAGATCTCACCTCGATGCTATAACGCTGCTTGTACAATAATGAAGTTCCCACTATGTTCTTTAATAAGACTTTGCCCCGCTTTTCGTTGGCCACAACCCTGGCTACGCTTATTTTGTGCACATTCAAAATGAGCATAAGGAGAGCGTGCAGCTCCCTGACCTAGGAGATCCCACCCCGACCAAACCACTCTCATGGAGATCCTCCCACATTTGGCTTACTATTGGCCTTGATCCTGATTGGCCACGCTCTCGGCCACTTTTCCATCGTAGTAGAAGTAGCGTCTATGTGTGAATTGGGTATCACAAAAATTGTTTGATGTGTACAATAATTAAATGAAAACATTAAGTCAGGCTTTGGTTTTGGCAGTGGTTTGCCTGGTTTTGCCCCAGTCATGTAACGAAGCATTATTCTTCACTCTGTCAATGTCATTACATTGGGTTACCACACCACTTCACTAAACTGAATATTACAGGGGCATTTAAAATGCTTATAAGTGACATGACTCAAGACGACTCTAAGGTAGCAGTAATTTTTACCGGACATGTCTGTCGGACCAGCATATTTCGCATGGACTGAACACAATGCCATGGGTAGAAACTAACATCAAAAGAATTGTTCTAGGGAAAGTGGAGACAGAATTTATTTTTGCCTTTTATGGTAGTGTTGGGAATTGGTTGAAGTTTTATGATCAATCATTGGTTACCACTACTAGTAACTGACCAATGATCGATCTATAATCATTTCGTAAAAATACATTGTGAAATTTGTCCATGCTGCTAAAGAAACAGTTGCAGAACCATGTTAGAATCGCCTGCTTTTAAGAACATTGAATCTGTAACAGATATTTAGTGGCTATGAGAAGGCTTGAAAGTAAAAGTAATTCATTAACGATGCTTACATAGCAGCTGAAAATAAATATCAGAAGAATATGAATTCTGTTGTTTAAGCGTTGTTAAAGTACTGTGTCTAGCAGGGACATAGGCTTGAAATCATGGATCACTCTACTGAAAACTAAATAATTTCTATACCACACAATTTATTTTAATTCCGACTAAAATCAATCGTTAGTTCTGTATTCAATTAATCAGTTTAATTTAGCTGTCTGACCAATAGTCGACTAAATCGATAATGGAACACCGTTATTTCATGGCGTCTGTTTATTTAGTCCATTGCTTTTGAGACCCATTAGCGATCAATTAACCGTTACCAGGTAGTGTAAAGTATGATGTCATCATGATGTTTTGTTATATAATTCTCAAAAAGTTATATATACAATGTGTATACGTACTAGACAATGTTGATGTTTTCTGTCTCGTATTGCTAAGAGAATCAAATTGATCTATAACCGTAATGAAATTTTAAATGTTGGTCGTGATAGCAGATTGGCTTTATGCATATATGGTAGGGACATGCAGGAGTATAATTTTGAATGATGGGAGTCATTTTCGTTTATATAACATTGAAGAAATTTCAAAAGGTGACAAAAATGTTACAATACCTTATAAATTGATATAAGGTTTAAAAAAAAGTTTATTTGTAAAAATGGTCATTTAATTTCTATCCATAAGTTTGTAAAGCTGTTTTATCTGGTGACCGATCATTTACAATATATCTCTGGTGACCTGACGTTTAGTTGAATCTTGTGATATGCCTGTATACATTATGATAATACAGTGTACATAAGGTCAAAAGCCTGTAATCGGTGATCACTGAAGGGGTGTGTTGTAGTTCACAATGTGGGTCATAATGTTGGCCAGTTGATCCTTGGTGTGTTCTTGTAATTGTGTATCAGGAAAGCAGTTCTTCTCATTTTCAGTTAATTTCCTCTGCTACTGTATATCCCTAATGTAAGACGCGTTGGAATCCCTGCTAAAATGCATATCCCCTGCTTTTGGTCCTGAAAATTTACCTTTTTTGAGGAGGAAGTTTGGTTTTGTGGCGATTTTTGGAAATGTCCCCCACATTTAAGAAGGACAGGTGATCTTAATGATGTTTTGCAATTTTCACAAACTCAACCCCCACCAACCCACCCCCCTTTCAGAAATTTCGAAATTTTGTTCCTAAAATGTGACCCGGCCTACATCGAAATGTATCACATTTTACTGAAAACATGATTT